TTTATTACAAACTAGACATCTCTTTGTGGAATTCAATGACATGTAAAAGTTTAATCAATTTACCAACAGTAAACAAATGTATCTTTAAATATATTTTAATATTCAGTAATCTTTAACTAATTCTCATCAAATTTATAATTTGGCTGGAACATTATTAATTATCAGATTTATAATTTAGCAGGCAGATTATTAATTAAATTATGATTGGTAAGTGTTGTGAAGTCATCAATATTATGTAATATTCAGGTTAATTTGGGATTTTAATAAGTATTGAATTAAAACAGCGTTTAATTTGTTATGTACACATAAGTATTTTTAATTTCTAACATTTAGTTGTTTTCTTTTAATTAAAACTTCAAAGATATTTGAATTATTCAAATACATTTTTAATTAAAAATCTGTGTTCAAACCTACATGTTTATCAAAGGAACATTAAAATGTCTTTTTTTTTTTTTTTTTAATGATCAATAAGCAAGTATATATGAAATTTATTTTATAAATATCTGTGTATCATTATCTAAAAGAATTAACTTGTTCATATCGTGGGGCTCTATACAAAATTTGTTTGGTAATTATAAAATCTTCATTTCTTTAACAATGTTTAACTTTAACAGAAATTAAATAATAGAAAAAAATAACCTTCATAGTTGTACATGCAACAGAATATATTAAAAAAGAAAAGTTAAATGGAACAAAATTATGGACCCTCAGAGTTTCACTTTATAAAAAAAAAAAAAAAGTTCAGTTGTTAGAAAATTAAGCTCAAGAAAATTCAAACCCCAAAAAGCAAAAAGCCATTGAAAATACATTAAAGCATAAAATATAAATGAAAGAAGCAAAAAAAAAAAAAAAAAAAAAAAAAAAAAAAAAAAAAAAAGAGTCTCTGTAGAAACAATTAAAATGTTGGATGTTGGCTTTAACGGCATGTCAACTCCTATTTGGGTCATTTTATGCCGAAGCCTTATTAATTTATGAATTTAAGATGGTTATTTTGTATAAAAGGTTGAAAGGCTGTTGGATTTCATAATCTTCTGTATTTTTTGGGATTGCTTTTTCTTGTGACTGTTTCTGATTGTGTATTTTAATATTTACATTCATTGAGAAAATTGTATATTTTTTCTGTCTGTATTTTTGAAAATTTCTTTTAAACCTTTTCCATTGAGATATTTTTGTCTTATTTTAGTTATGATTTTGCATTCTAATAGAATATGTCTTATTGTGATTAGGCTTCCACATCTGCATTTTGGTAGATTTGTCTTTTTTAATATATAAGAATGGGTTAAATATGCGTGTCCTATATGTGTTCTGGTTATGACAACTTGTTTTTTCCGAGTATTTCCAAGATTATTTCCCCATTTTCCTATTTTAGGTTTAATTTGAAATAGTTTATTTCCGGTTTGGTTTTTCCATGAATTTTGCCATTTGTTTCTTATGTATTTATTTATTTTAGATTTTAAATCTGTATATGGAATTTGAAGATTTTCATCAATTGTCATTTTTAAAGATGATTTAGCAGCAGTATCTGCCTTATCTCCTCCTTGGATGCAGACATGGCTAGGAATCCAGCAGAAGATGATATTTTTGCTTTTTTCCATTGAATGTAGTTTATATAGAAGACTTTGTATTAATGGATTTTCCAGTCTTTTCCCTTTTAGGGATGTTATCTGGATAATGAATCTGAGAAAATAATATAGTTTTTCTCCTTTGTTTTTATATGAAATTTAGTGCTAGTTTTATTGCGTAAGCTTCTGCACTGAAAATTGATGCTTCATTTGGCAAGCGTTTTTTGATAATTGTTTTTTTTGTTATTGCTGCACTGCCTGTTTTGTCTTCGTCTTTTGAGCCGTCCGTGTAAATACTTTCATAGTTTTGATATTTTTCTTTTATTTTTGAGAATTTTTCAATGTATGTTGTGGGGTGTGTTTTTGATTTTGATAATTTGTTTAAACTTAATATGTTTGGATTTTTGATTATCCATGGTGGTACATTTGATTGGTTGGTTTTAAGTATTTGATTAGACTGTATATTATTTTCTTGGATGATTCTTTCCATTCGAAGTCCCAATGTTTTGATTTTATTTGTGTTAAGATTAAATTTCTCTTTGTGATTTGGTGTAAGTACACAATCATGTGTGGGGTTAGAAGGACAGGAAGAGAGTTTTATATAGTATTGAGTTGCTAGTTTCTCCATTCTTAGTTGTAATGGGGGTTCATTTGCCTCTACATGTAGACTCTCTATAGGTGAGGTGGGATAGGCTCCTAGAGCTATCCGAAGGCCTTCATGGTGTATTGTGTTTATTGTTTTTAGATAAGACTTTTCTAGTTGATTGGTAGACCATGCTGCCATAGTCCAGTTTGGGCGGATCAACGTTCTATAAAGTTTAAGAAGGGTTTCTTTGCTAGCTCCCCATTCTGTATGGGCTACTGTTTACAGTAGTTGGAGAGCTTTAAAACATTTTGTTTTTAGGTAATTGATATGTGGTCTGAAGGTCAGTTTGCTGTCAAAGATCATTCCTAGAAATTTATATTGCTGAACTACTGGTATTTCTTCATTTCCTAGTTTTAGAGTTGGGTTATTGTGTAATTTTTTCAGTTGGCAGAAGTGTACAGATTTTGTTTTTGATACTTTAAAACCGTTTTCGAGTGTTCATTTGTTTATTTGATGTAAGCATTGTTGAAATTGTCTTTCTGCTGTGTTGAGGTTTCTTGATCTGTAATATATTGTAAAATCATCAACATAAAAGCTACAGTGTATTCCTGATTTGATGTTTTTTATTATGTCATTTATTTTTATTTTGAAAAGTGTAGGGGAGAGTACACTTCCCTGTGGTATTCCCTCTTCTTGCTTTTGATAATCAGAATGTGTAGCATCTATTTGTACTTGGAAGAGTATCTGTTAAAAATCCTTTTACAAAGTTTGGTAGTCGACCTCTTAATCCTAGTTTATGCAGATCTTTCATTATACCATGTTTCCAGGTTTGATCAAATGCTTTTTCTATATCAAAGAATATGGCTATTAGATGTTGTTTGTTTAAATTGGCCTCTCTTATGGCTGTTTCTAGTCTTATTAAATGATCTATTGTGCTTCTTCCTTTATTATATCCACATTGATATTTTGATATGTGTTTTCCTTCTTCTAGAAACCAACTCAATCTGGCATTGACCATTCGCTCCATTGTCTTACATAGACAGCTTGTTAATGCTATTGGTCGGTAACTTTGTGGATTGTTTCCCTCTTTTCCTTCTTTGAGTATGGGAATAATTACCGATTCTCTCCATATTTTGGGAAATTTCCCAGTTGTCCAAATATTGTTAAAAATATTCAAAAGGTATTTCAGCGATTCTTGTGGTAGTTGTTTAATAAATTCATAGTGGATTTGGTCTGGGACTACTGCTGTATTATGGGATTTTTTTATGGCTTCTATTAGTTCTGCTTCGGTGAATAGATTGTTGTAGGCTTCTGTATTTTTAGATGAAAAATTTAGTTGGTTATTTATATCTTTTTGTTTACACTTTTGTAGGTTTTGATTTTTGCTCATTTTAGAGTTTTCTGCAAATGTCTCTGCTAGTAGGTTTGCTATCTCTTTTTTTGCTAGTTACTTTAGTGTTGTCCTTTTTAAGATGTATTATTGGGTATATTTGATTTTTTTTCCAGCTATTTTTTCTCATCATTTCCCATATTGTCTTGGTTTTGGGATGTGTGTATTTAGGCTGTTTACATATTTTTTCCAACATTCCCTTTTGGCTTCTTTAACAGTTTTCCGTGCTACTGCTTTGAGTTTTTCATTTCAATCAAATTTTTGGGTTGTGGGTTCCTTTTTGAATTTTCGCAATGCTGCTTCCCAGTTTCTGACTGCTTTTTGGCAGTTTTGTCAAACTAGGGTTTAGTTTTTTTTATAATTATTTTGCTTTTTGGTATATTTTCTGAGGCAATGGTTATTAATGTTTTGGTAAAGTATTCTATCGTGTTGTCTGTGTCCTTTGACTGTATCAGTAATTGTTTACATTTTTTTTTGAAACCCTCCCAGTTGGCTCTTTTCAGTTTCCATCTGACAGGGCCTATCTTTTCTTCCTTGGCAGGCTTTTGATTTTCTAGAATGATGGGGGTAATGATCACTGCCACATGTGTCACTATGTGTTTTCCATGTATAGTCCATACAAATTTCTGGATCGCATATACTTAAGTCTATTGACGATTCTGTTCCATTGGAGGGATTAAGGTAGGTTGAGGATTTATGATTTAATAGACATAAGTTATGGGTGTTAATTATTTCTTCTAATATTTTACCTTTAGTAACTAGCTTTTTGCTATTCCATATAGGATTATGACTGTTAAAGTCTCCTAATAAGATTCTGGGTTTAGGAAGTTGCTCCATCAAGTTGTTTCTGTTGTATTTATTGGTTCCTGTGGGGGTATATAAATGGAAAGAATTGTGATGGTTTTATCTAGTGTCAATTGTGTTGCTATTGCTTGTAATTTAGTTTTAATGTGTACTTTACTTTGCGGTATGTCATTTCTAATCAATATTGACATTCCTCCATTAGCTCTATGTCCTGTATTGTGGTTATAGTGGTATTGTTTATAATTTTAAATTTTAAGTTGGCATTTTCTTGTAAAAAGTTTCCTGTAAGCAGATGACGGCTGGATACAGTAGTGACATAAGTATGAGTAGGTCATTGTAATTAGATTTTATTCCACGACAGTTCCATTGCAGGATCTTATGTGCCATGGTTTATATTTTCATTTTTTGGGGTAAAGTTACCTATTAGGTTTATATCATTTGTCCTCTCCAGTTTTTTTTCATCTCTTGAGTTTTTTTTTATAAGCTTTGTCTTCAACTACTTGTGGTGTCCTTCGGTCAGATTTTTGGTTTTGTTTTGAATTTTGTTTATTTTCTTTCTCTTCTATTTCCATATATTCCATAGGCTCAAATTTATTTTCATTTGATATATTAATTCTTGATTTTGAGTTAGATCTTGATCGAGTGCTTTCTTGCTCTGTTGTCACTTTTTTTGTCTTTGTTTATTTTTCATTTTCTTAGTTTGGGTTTGGGAAGAAGAGGGTTCGCTGGAGTTTTGTTCTGTGTTTTCTTTCCAAAGTTTTTGCCTTCTTTTGAGTTAATTCCATTTGATCTGGGTTGTTGAGTTTTATTTTGATCTGATTTAAGTTCGATTAAAAAGGTTTTTAATTCTTCAAGGAAAGCTTTTAATTCCTTGCATAAATTTGTTATTTTAGTTGAACCTTTTATTTTATCTTCATTGTTTATTTTATTTGCTTTTTGTGCCATGGAAGCATAGGTGTTTTCTTTTATGTTATTTTTAACTTCCTTTCGTGCTTCTATGAAAGATATATTTTTTGTATTTTATTCTAATTATTTCTTTCTCCTGTTTATATATACTGCATTGTTTTGAGAGGGCAGAGTGGTTTCCCAAACAGTTTGAGCATAGGCTCTCATTTGGGCAGTCCTCTTCTTTATGTTCTGGTTCTTTCTCACTACATTTTCCACATATTTTTTTTATTTCTACAGGAATCTCTGTGATGCCCAAATTTGTGGCATCTATAGCATTGAAGAGGGTTTGGTACGTATTCTACTTTTATACTTTCATATCCAATTTTAATTGTTGTCGGAATTTGGGGGGAGTTGAAAGTTATAATGTAGATATTAGTTTGTATCTGCTTCATTTTTCTTTATTGTTATTCTTTTGACATTTGTAACTCCTTGAGTTTGGAGTTCTATTTTTATCTCCTCTAGAGTGCACAGGAGAGCTCCTTGCTTTTTATTACTCCTTTGAGAAATTTAGGGTTTGGTGTGGGTAGGATTTTATTTCTATTTCTTGTAGTTTTTGTCTTATTAATGTGTCCACATATATCTTTTTCCACTTCCACTAGTAATGTTCCATTTTGTAATTTTTTACATATTTTGGTATAATGATATTTGATAATGCTTTTTGTATTTTAAATGGAATATTTCTGTTAGTGCTTTTTGCTTATTGCTTCAGTACAATAAATAAATCGAAAGTTTTTCACTATCATTTTCTGTTTCAGTCGTTATCCACATGTGGTCTCTTGGAAGATTTCTTTTTTCCATTGATTGTTTTTATTTTTTGTTCATCATTCTCGTTTCCCTACCCACTTGAGTCCAGTATTGGGACATGACAAGGGGAAACCCATTCGCCTTGCCATGTCGGGGCTCTTTGAGAGGAGTCTTTGAGCACGTGTGTTCCTTTGTTTCTGTTTTCCAAGTATTACGGCTGTGAAGGTTTAGCAAGTGTGTCAGATCCTTTTTTTCTCCCAAATTGATTGACCCTCAGCCACCGCCTTCCATCACATATTTAGGGTTAAGTGTTAGTTTTGGTTGGGAAGAGGAATGTCAGTTATAGGTTTGGGATGGATTATATATGATGGGGCTTGACATGACCAGCCGAATGATTGGATCGGGCCCCTCCGACCGCCCGTCTAGCCCAGGTAAGGGCCAAAGTGGTGTGTTACAGGATTGTGACCGCTTTACACCTGGGTTACAACCTGCTCAACCACCAGGATCCCATCCCCAGACATTACGGGTCATCACCCACGGCCAACAGGTGGCCCCATTGAGGGACTTTTACCCTCTGCAGGGGGGCAGTCAGCGTATTCTGATGCCCCACCGACCGGGCATAAAATGTTGGAAAGAAACTTACAGGAATTTTTGACAAAGCAGTAACCAGCGAGCAGTTTTAGTGAATGGACTTCAAAAAGCACTGCATGAAAGAGCAGTTCTCGGGATCCAGGTCGTTTGTGTGGATCTCTTTCAATACATCGTTGGATAAAATCCTGCAGGTAAGGAGAGATAAAATATGACAGAAAAACATTAATTATAATCAATTAAAAGTTAAATAAACAGCATCAAACAATTTTTTATATATATATATATATATATATATATATATATATATATATATAGCCAGTAGATTTCACTTGTTGAAAACAATGTTTTATTTGTACAATCTGCATTATATATCAATTCTTGATTATAAAATAAATTACAGGTGAGCATAGAATGAGGCGGGGATACCCATTTTTTTAAAAAATCTTTTCAACTTTATTGCTTGTTTTCTTTCATTGACAATAGAAAAAGAAATATTTTTATTTTTGCATCAGTGAAGAAATGAATTTGTTCAAACAGCCAAGCATAAAAGAGAAGGAAAGGAAGAAGAAAAGAGGAGAAAAAGAGAAGGAAGAAGAAAAGAGGAGAAAAAGAGAAGGAAGAAGAAAAGAGGAGAAAAAGAGAAGGAAGAAGTGGAGAGAAAAGAGGAGAAAAAAATAAAGAAAAAATGGAAAAGGAAAAAGAAAAAGAAAAAATGGAAAAGGAAAAAGAAAAAATGGAAAAGGAAAAAGAAAAAATGGAAAAGGAAAAAGAAAAAATGGAAAAGGAAAAAGAAAAAATGGAAAAGGAAAAAGAAAAAATGGAAAAGGAAAAAGAAAAAATGGAAAAGAAAAAAAAAAAAATGGAAAAGGAAAAGAAAAAAAAATGGAAAAGGAAAAAGAAAAAATGGAAAAGGAAAAAGAAAAAATGGAAAAGGAAAAAGGAAAAAGAAAAAAGGAAAAAGTAAAAGGAAAAAGAAAAAAGAAAAAAGAAAAAAGAAAGAAGAAAAAAGAAAAAAGAAAAAAGGAAAAAGGAAAAAGAAAAAAGTAAAAGGAAAAAGAAGAAAAAAAGAGCAATGGTGTTCAGTCAGTACTGCCTATTGGGACATTTCCACTTTTCCTTGGGGACCAGGTAAAAATGTCCTTTGCCAGATAATCAAGCTCCTAACTTTTTAGAGACTAAAACCATTTTGGTTGATCATTGGTACATCACAAATAACAGGTGAGAATTATAACAAGTTTAACATATCAGACCAATTGCTTTGAATTCAACTGGCTTGAAATACATTAGAATTGCTGAAAAAGAAATGAGGACAATACTTACCCTTTGTAAAGAATCTTCTAAGGAATCTAATGTGTTTGTGATTGCTTCAGGTGTAACATTAGCTTCTCCATTCCCTTGGATTTCTAAAGCTGCCATCTGAAAGAAAAAGGAAGCACAAAATGAAATTATAAGCCAATATGCAGAGTCATTAAAAACATACTGTACAAACATTTTTTGGTGTATAATATGACTCTGTTTCTGAAGTTAAAAACTGATAATAAATTACATCCTTGAGTATAATACAACCCTGTAGCACAGACATCCCTATGTAATTTTTTTTTATAAGTTGTACCATATTATGCATTAAAATCTCAATGTTGTACATATATTTCCCTAAAATATTTAATTTTTCATGATAATAAATAGAAATGAACTGGATGTTTAGCCATTGCATGTTTCTTCTAATTTCTGTTTTAAAACTTATGTTTTGGAAAAGGTGCTTTGTTGTACAATTAATGTTATCAAAAACATGACAGATCTTGTGTATACTTTTATTATTTTCTTTTTAATCAATTTCAGTGAATTTCCTGTCTTTGAGACAAAAGAGGTTCAATTACATTGATTCCCAAAGAACAAATATTGCTGACATATCAAATACCTTTTGTAAATAATTGTTATCAACACCTGCCTACTTTGTGCATTACTATCTATTGTGCTAACAGAGTGTATTTGCAATCTTGCTGCTTCAAATAAGAGTTAAAAATTTCCGAAAATGTGAACATGTGTACAATGCTACCCATCTTTTTTGTCTTTAATTTCCATTCAAAATTTCTTGTATTATACACAAGAAAATAAAGTATGCAATTCCTTGATCTGGAAATATTACATGCTGTGAGAAACACTTTGCAAGTTTTAGTGGATTATTAAAAATGAAACAAATACTTAATCTATTATAATGCATTTGAGGCAAATTCAGTTAACACAGCAGATAATGAGTTTAATTTCAGATGAAAATGATTATTATCCAACTAGATTTTGTTTCTACATTAAAATAAAGGTATAGGCTGTGAAATTAATTGTGGCTCTATCATGTGAATTAAATCATTGGTCTCCATCAAGACAGTATAGTGATAAACATCAATGACTAACAACAATTTGGTTGTATGAAGTTTCTATAAAGTTACTTTTGATTGATGAGGTTTTCTAGCAAAAAATACCTGATGATATTAGTCATTATTTCTAACTAGAAATACCCATGAAAATTTCAGTTTTCCTAATTGAATTTTCTGATGGATCTTAATTCTCAAGTTAATGATTGAATAAGCTCATGGTGAGTTCTATGATAATAATATATCCATAGAAATTCCCCTATTGCATTGTTAAATATTTCAGTTTATACTCAATACTTACTTCTAATGCACACATTCCAAATGAGTAAATATCTACAGCGGTTGTCACTTGACCAGGACCTGAAAAGAGATTGCAAAGAGTTACAATGAAAGGTACAATTAATTCAATACTGTGGGCATTATTTTTAATTGGTCAGGTAAATTCTAAACAGATCAAATGCAAGAAAAGATACATAAATATAGATTAAGCAACAAGCAGTTGTCTAGTGCATTTCAAAAATAATTGTTTTACCATGATATTTCTTTTTATCAGAATGAGCCAGCTGATGGAAATCCCTAAAGAGAACTTTATAAACTGTTTTGAAAAGTGGAAGAGATGCTCAGATAGGCATGTGAAGTCTTAAGAGAAATTCTTTAAAAGTGGTGAAAATCACAATTGGTCTAGGGAGGTAGGCTTTTTGTCTGGATCATTTACAGACAGATCTTTTACTGTCATCATATATATATATATATATATATATATATATATACATACAATTATGCTACAATTGTACTTATAATTATATTCCATCTATACTATTATTCTGCTTGTGTGTATGTGCAACCATTACTTATTTTTTTTTTATCTAGGATCAGTGTAGTATCTGCCAGATCTCTAGTTCTGTATGATCAAAAAATGTATATAATATTGAACAAGAATTGAAATAAAGAAAGGAAAAGGATGAGGAAGAAAAGAGGTATGAAGGGCAAAGTGTAGGAACTAAGAAAATTTCTAAAAAAAATAAGTAAATGAAACAGGTGAAAGGAAAAATTTAGAGATGGAAATGAAAGAAAAAGATAGGCACATGTTTACTTGATGGATATCAAGAGACAGCAAAAGCTTCATTGTTGTCTCCTTAATCTTTTTCCATGGTTTAAAATATTTCTTCCTTTCAATGGAGATAGATGTTGTAGGGTGTCAACTCTGGACATGGGCAGGTATCTTGACAGACTTGGTGATGTAATGAAAGGAAAAAAAAACAAACCTTCACAAGATTTTGCTAATATACTCACCTAGAAATGCAATAGTCATATGCTTACTGAAAGGCATCTGAATGCTGACTGAATAACTCCATGTGAAAGTATCATGCATAGGCAATAGATCCAGTTTAATTAGTTACTTAATTACATCCAAAGAATTGGGTTTTGAAAGATTGAAAATGGTTGGTTACTATTCGGACATAAGCATATCATGATTGCTTAGTAATATCTTTTATATACTATTGTTCACTCAATACAAGGTCCAAGAGCCACTCAAGGTATCGGTTACTGAATAAGGTTGTTGTAAGGGCGTAAAAGGAGGAAGAAAGAAGTGCATATTATGGGAATATGCAGGATAGATAAACAACTGACTCTAGAATTGAAGAGGTTAAAATTATAGTGATAAGAGAAGCATTCTTTCAAGAGTCTGTTCCACAATGTAACAGCGCTTAGGAAGAAATTGTTTGAATGGAACTTCCTCCTTATCAATGGAATATGAAGGGAATGGGGATGATTTGAACCTGTATATGTGGCATGGTGGGTCCTAGCTGAGGTCTGAATTCGTGGAAGTAAAGAATGGAATACAAATTCCATTGAGTAGGTTTTATTAAAGTGAAACTAATTCTTAATACAAAGGTGGGAAGAAATGTGGTACAAAAATGATAATCATCTGAGATTAAATAATTGTATTAATCTTGATTACTAAATGTAGGTACAATGTATTTGTTTAGGTCTATATTAAATGTTTGGCAAAGTTTAACCTTTGTGCCCATGAGAATATGGTGTCAAAAGAATGGTTATTGCTTTGACACCATTATTACTATATACACTCTCGACTCCCTTGGCAATATTTATTAATAGCATTATAAAAATTTGTAAATGAAATACAATGTGATAATTATTATTTACCTTATATAAAGATTTATTATTTACCATTTTATAAAGAAATAAATTTGAAAAATCTTTTTATTCAAGAATTTATAAAAAATTACAAAATTAGAGAAATATGTAAATCAACTACAATTTAATATTTATTATTTACCATTTTATAAATAACTATGAAAACAAGTTATTTTTTTTATTCATAATTTTATAAAAAAAAATCAATGAACTATAAACGAAGACATTTTCAATAATGATATATTATCTATTTAGCAGTGTTAAGTGAATAACTGCCTTTTTCTACACACCAATTTTTTTGTGGTTACAAAGTTTAAACATTGTCAAATGTTCATTAGGAATATGATGAAAACAGTACAAAACATGCTAAAAAACTCAGTATGACCTACCTCTCAAAATCTGACCAAAGGACTAAACATTAGATTCTGAGAGAAAGGTCTTATTGGTCAGGCTGAGAACTCTTTTGCACACCCTTGTAAAAATAACAGAATCTGACTGAATTATAAAAATGACTTCAAAAGTTATAAATGGTTGAGCAAAAAATACTGTTTTTTTTTTCTCCATTAATTCTTTACCTAACAGTTATAATTTGGAAGTACCGAGGCTTCTAACAGCAATTTGGTCTTGGAGAAGAAAGACATTTCAACCTTTCTCCTAAATGGTCAGTCTGTTTTGTTGGGTTCCAAATCAGAATTTTGCAACTTTGCTCAAGGAAGAAGCTAATGTTTAAAGTTTATAATAATAATAATCAAAAATTAAAAAACAATATAAGATATACCATTTTGGGGCTCTTTCATTAGTCTCCTTCAGGATTAGAATTTTGGTTTTTATAGAGGGACCAACATAACATTCAAGAAAAAACAAATACAGCTTAATTTTGTTTTTTTGTTTTTAGGGTCATTAACTTTTAATAGAACTTACAAAAAAAATAAAATAAAAAATAAAAATGTTACCTGATGGGTGTGGAGATTGAGTGATTGATTTATCTGTTTAATGGCATATCAACTCCTTATGGGTCATTTAATGCCAAAATTTAATTTTCTTGGGAGCTTGGAAGTAATAAAAATATGATATATATTATTATGCTTTCACAATTTGATACATGGTAGATGATACTCTGCATTTGTGCATATACATGTTTAGACATAACTAAAAGTGGTGAAGTGCATTTTATGTAGTGGCTTTGTTGAAGTTATTTTGGAATACAGTTCAAGAAATTGTAGGATATTATATGGACTAATGTCATGAAAGTTCTTTTATGCTGGTTGTTTGGTAGTATTTTAAACTGTTTTGCATGGGGTCATTGTTAGTATGTGTGTATTGTTGGTCATTTTTTATATAAAAATGTATTGCTAGTATTTTTACTATAAAAATGTATTTCTATACTTTCATAGCGTTTTGTTTTAGTTGGAGTGAGGGGGGGGGTGTTCACTATTTGCTCATAGCTGGGAACATAACAGGTGTTATTACCCCAGGTCAGGGTGGACCTGGGAACAACAGCAATTAAGAAGTGGTTTCATGCTCATCAAAACCTCCCAATCAGAGGTCTTGCTGCTGGATGTAGTTTATCGTCGTGCACAGGACAAGTGTGGAGATGGAATGACAACCATACCTTCATATTCTGGTGCTATGCAATGCATATTCTTTAAGTCTTCACGATAAGTCTTCACGTGGTGGTGGATTGCATCAGGTGCCACTGGAAAATCAAAACAAGAGCTTCAGGCTCCATTGAAAAAAATTCCAAATTCATTGAAAGAAAGACAAAGAGGCAAAAGTCAGATAAGTGCAGTGCAAAATCAAGAATAATCAAATGAGAGGAAACAAGTCACATCCTGTAAATCAAAAATAAATTTCAACTGTGACTTTTCTTGTTATTTTTTTGTTGATTTACTCATAAGGGACTGCAAATCGCAGCTGCACACAGGAAAACTTGTAAGAAAATAGGCTTTCAGATAATCAGTTTAGAAAATTAGAAACCAAAATATGGGTGTTGGATCACAGTTAGAAATTTTATTTCTTGACCAAACACTCATCATTTGAGTTCAGAGTTTGTAACATTTCAGCTGGTTGGTTTTCCAATCATCTTCAGGTGATTCAATATCGGGTCAAAATTTATTCTGAATATTAATTTAATATTTTTTTGCAATGAAAAATGTGAAACTCTTCATGTAAAATGCTTTCTCTATGTTTTCTAGCATTTTTGAGCACCTGAAAATTATTAGAAATTTTAATAAATATTTTTAATAGGAAAACAAAGGAATGAATAAACAGTTAAAAATCAATTATAAATTTGTCATTAGAAATTACAGAATAATGAAAGTGGCAATATTAAAAAAAAACTTGTGTTAAATATTATTTAAAAAATGTCTTCAAAAAAAAAAAAAAAAGAAAAAAAAAGTAGGGTCCAAAAATAAACACTAACTCAGCTTTTATATTAAAATGCAAATTATTAATATAATTCCAAATATAAACAAGTACAAATGTTTGATATTATTTTAGAATCTACTAACATTGTCAATAAAAACTTCATAAAACAAAAAGAAAAAAATGAGTAATAGAACGAAAAGAGTGAGAAAAATGACATTAGATAAGAAACATAATTCTTGTATTTTTCAAATTTTATCAATTTATTTTCTTTGTAATGCCATTAGGGAAATTCTGAATGCAAAAAGTTGATACATTTTAATATTCAATAGAAATTTTTATTATTACACTCATCTATTGGCTTTTGAATTAACAACATGTAATTGTTGTATTTTCTAATATTGTTCAAGTGTGGCAACACCGGGGACAACACAAGTTTTATTATGTCTAGTTAAGAATCATTGCCACTCCCAAAACAGTCTTCTTTCCTGTGACCATAACTAAAGTTGCTTTTTATTACTTATAAAAACTTTGTGAGATAATCTAATATACTTCTTCTGGTAAGTAGATTTATCCCCAATTGTGCATGTGTGGGCTGTGAATAACAACCTTGTACTCTTGCAAATGAAGCCTTATTGCATGTTTAAACAATCCCCCCCTCAAACTGTGATGAATTATAGAAGATATTTTCTTCTACAAAATTCATTTAAAAAAAAAAAAATTAATAAAAAGTAAAATTATCTCATGATGAATAATTCAAAAACATCAAAGATGAGTGTAAATTGCAAAAAAAAAGAAAAGAAAAGAAAAAATCTTAACACTCCAAAAATGATGATGTAATAAATGTTGTAAGTTTTGAATCTGTGCTTGGAAGATTTTTTTTCCAAGTGCAACAAACTTCTTTGGTCACTGAATGAACAATCAGTGCAATAATAAAAGAAAAATATTCATTCTGAGACAAGTTTAAAAGGACAGGCAGGCAAGCAAACAAGACAGGCAATATCAGTCTAACTAACAAAGCATAACAATTGCTTTGGCTTTCCAAAAGATACAATGTACCAAGCATTACATAAATAACATGACAACATCAAGAGTTTTGTCATTGTTTACTCAAAGAATCAATTGATTATTCTATCAAAGAACAACAAAAATTTTGTAGCTTTACTGTCTTGAGAATTTACAAAGCTCCCCTCAAACAGATTTAAAAATAATAATTCAACTGAATTTGAATTTATATCCAACAACAGGGCAGGAGTTTTATTCTAAATCTTTTAAGTCAAGAGAGGCAAGATTTCATTTATGGGGCCTATAAGCAAGGTTATTGTAAAGGAATAAAATGTTAAAATCTTGTCCAGTTGTTCATATAAACTCCTCTTCCTAATTAGATTCTAATTTTACTTAGCATACTTAAAGCATATGCTGAGTACTATGGAAAAGTTAAAAGAATAAAACATTTAACACCATTTGTACTATTAAAAATTAATGTGATAAATTTTTTACAACAATTTTATCTAATGTAATTGAAGTCAAAAAAAAGTTCTATGTAACACATTTTGTCTGCTAAAACGATGAAGTCCTTTTAGCAGACAAAATGTAATGTGTAAACACTATTTACATCATGCAGGCTGTTGTCCTCATCTATATTGCTATATTCATGCTGTTTTGGCTGTTGTACACTCTGACCTTCTTCAGATGATATATGTTGGAATTTTGAAGTGAACCCTTTATTTAGTCCACAGGTGTAAATAGTTATAATATACCATCTCAGAAATATAGACAGATAAGTAATGTTCTTATTGATAGAATTGTGTGTGTGTGTGTGTGTGTGTGTGTGTGTGTGTGTAAGTGAGGGCAGATATAAACATAAATGTTTGTTATAATTATGTACTAAGGGAAGATGCTGAAGATGTAGGAATGCTAAATTTTAAGTGGAATTTTTTTTTGCATCCAAGATGTCTAGATGCAAAGCTCAGCTGATCTTATTCAATGTTTTAGCTGTAAGGTTTTATACCTCTTGTTTTAACAATGTTTATAGTAATGGAGATAATTTGAAAATCTGTAAATGTATTTGAATATTAAATTACTTCCAGTAGTATTTGTCTCACTATATGTGCAGATTCCTACAAATGACTTAGTTTGACATAAGTATGGAGTACACAGTAAGGATCAAACGTCACAACATTAGTAACAGTTTCTGTGATACGCTTGCTAACTACTATTTTACAGTGAGTCACCCAAATATTTACTTGGCTTACTCTGGCACAAGGTCGCAAATATGATATTTAATGAAGATCAAACTTATAAATGAAGTGAATAAGTCTGTGAGATCTGCTTGTTAGCCATCACATCAGGGTAGAAAATTTACACTAACATTTAAAAAGGAATGACAGTCTGTGCTGAAGGTTGACAGACTAAAATATTCAGATATTTGGTAAGATTCAAAGTTTCTAAATAATATTCAGTTCTGTTAGTACTAAGAACTAAATTCCTGTTACGAATTTCAAAATATTTACTTTTAAAGAGTTAAAATTCATTGTAATTATATTTTCCAGCATGCAACTGGGTCATTCCATCTCAAATCAACCAATAGCCACAGCTGACCCTCTCAAAAAAAAATTTGGGAAAATTAAGATATTCCTTGATCAAATTTATTTGAAAAATTTGAAATATTAGATCTACATTTTTTGTTTTAAAACCAGAACATTTCCCTGCATTTTTCTAAATAAAGTATAGCTCCAAGGATATTGCATTTACAGATTTGAAACTTGCTAACATTACTATAGATGACAAAAATTTAAATGGCTTAGATGTGTTTTACGTACTTTTATTTTTATAAGGACCTGATAATGGCCAAAATGCAAAGAAACTGTCCACTTTGAGACCTTCTCACAAATGAAGTCAAATACAGCATCCAAGTTAATTTTCCTGTCATTTATGATGGAATAGATTATTTTTATATAGTAAACATTCATTTCTGTTATAGGAATGTCAGTATTACTGTTTGAAAATTGCTTGATTTTGTTAACATTTTTAAAGTTGCCTATTTTTGTGACATCAAAAGTCCAGTAAAAATTTCTTTTAATATTTTTACCACATATTATGTGATTGAAGTTTCATTTTGTGGACAAACTTCTGTCTAGGGTTTAAACATTTTTCTAGAACATCTTATGCCAAAATCATGGTTTTGTCAATTTTGGCCTCTTATAAATTTGATTCTTAAGAAAATATGAAGCTGAAAGTTGGTATCCCTATCATTTCCTATACAAATAAACTAGTTTTGGCTTCATTTTACATTTGTTCAAAACCGTTTAGATGCTATAGGCCCTTAAAAATGTTTTTTTTTGGATGGGCTACAAAATATTTAACCAAACAAAGAAGCTAAACCAAGGACATTAAAATAAAAATTCAATTAGATTATTTTAATTTTATTTATATCAAGTCAAAATAGTGAAAAGGCATTACAATTTGACCATGTTAAGCAGTACTTAAATATATATATATATATATATATATATATATATAGTGAGTACACATATTTGAATAGATATATCTACTGATAGTACTGCCCAAAGCCAACCATGATGCAGAATGATTTTTGGAGGAGCTGTCCCCCCCCCACTTACTTTCTATTATAGGATTTATGTCTAAATTACTTGAATTATTCAGGTTTCTTGATCTGCAAATGAACTTTTTTTTTTAAAAAAACAAAATAGGCTTATTTAATTTAGTTGAAGAAAAACAATCAAAATCAAGAACTGAACAGAAACATTCACAAAAATGATAAAAGGTTAAAATAAAACAAGTGTTTATTTTTTTCTAAATTGGTTTGGGACCTGAAAACAAAGTTTGGATTCTTTCAATAAGGTTTATTTAATAAAATGAATGTTAATATATAACTGTCTTTTCTGCATTATTTTGTAAGAAGATTTTTTTTCAAATACAAGCAGTTAATGCAGCAAACAAACCAGGATGGTTATCAAAAGTTCATCATTAACCAACTAAAAAAAAAAAAAAAAAAAAAAAACTTTCAATCTTAATCATATTTGAACATGATAGCATTTCTAATGTGATAAGACAATTTTGAATTGCTAAATTCATTTGTTTCATGTATCACAATGCATATAATAGATAAAAGGTTGGGAAAAGAATTAAATTCTAATGAAAGAATAAGAATTTAAAATATTTGTCATTGGTTTTAATAAGGGTAAATTTAGAATAACAGATAAAAAGCAAAAGGAAGAAATATATTTTTCAAGAGTTTTTCCAACTCATTTGTTTTCTTTATTTTACAGCCTTCAGGATTAACATCTATATGGAAAAGGTTGAGGTCTT